TCTTCTCCATTGGACTCGGTCCTGAGCCAATCGCTTCCAGTCGCCATGAACGTTTAGCGACCTGATGTCCTCCTCAACTGCAAATAGCCAACGTGTCCGAGGTCTACCCCGGAGTCGACGACCTCTACCGGATTCTCTGCTGAATATAATATTTGCTTGTCGTTCTTCCGGCATCCGCACTACATGCCCAGCCCACCGTAGTCTGCCGTGTTTTATAAGCTTCACTATATCCGTACCGTTATACACTTGGTACAACTCGTGATTCATGCGACGCCGCCAGATGCCATTCTCCTGTTTACCGCCGAGTATTGTTCGCAGCACCTTACGCTCGAAGACACCAAATGCTCTCCGGTCAGACTCTTTTAACGTCCACGATTCGTGGCCGTAGAGGGCTACCGGAAGTATCAGCGTCTTATACAGAGCGAATTTCGTTTTCGTTTGCAGGCTACGGGACTTCAGCTGGCTACGTAATCCGTAAAAGGCCCTGTTTGCAGCTGCAATACGTCTCTTCACCTCGCGGGTAACATCATTATCGCATGTCACTAGTGTTCCAAGATACACAAATTCTTCCACTACCTCAAATTGTTCACCATCTAACAACACCACTATTGCTCCCACGCTGTCTACCGGCTACCATGTACTTCGTTTTGGTAGAACTTATCGTGAGCCCAATCCTCGCCGTCTCCCTCTTAAAAGGCACAAACGCCTCTTCCACTGCTCTACGGTCAATTCCTATGATATCGATGTCGTCCGCAAAGGCAAGGAGCATGTACGATCGTGTGATGATGGTACCGTTCCTCTGCACACCAGCTCTCCTAATCGCTCCTTCAAGAGCAATGTTGAACAGTAAGTTTGAAAGTGCATCACCCTGCTTCAATCCATCTAAGGTCACGAACGAGGTCGAAATCTCATCTGCAACCCTTACACTTGATTTCGATCCATCTAGCGTTGCGCGAATCAGTCTAATTAGTTTCGCCGGAAAACCATGTTCTAGCATAATCTGCCAAAGCTCATTTCTCTTCACTGAATCGTATGCTGCTTTGAAATCAATAAACAGAAGGTGAGTCTGCAAGTTGTACTCCCGGAATTTATCAAGGATTTGACGCAGGGTAAACATTTGATCCGTCGTTGATCGGCCCTCACGAAAACCAGCCTGGTATTCACCGACGAAGGACTCCTCAAGCGGTCTCAATCTGTTAAACAGAACGCGTGACAGTATTTTGTACGCCGAATTCAGAAGAGTTATTCCTCGATAATTGGCGCACTCGAGTCTGTGCCCTTTTTTGAATAATGGGCAAATGAGGCCATCCAACCAGCTAGCAGGCAGTTCTTCGTCCTCCCATATCTTCGTTAGAATACGGTGGATTGCTTGATGCAGCTGCTCACTTCCGTGTTTGAAAAGTTCGGCCGGGAGCTCGTCCTTCCCAGCAGCCTTATTGTTTTTCAGCTCACGTATTGCCTTTTTAACCTCGTCTAACGTTGGAGGCTCCACAGCTTGATCGTCGTCTGCGATGTTTACTCTGTTCCTCGATACTCCCTCACTCTCTCCATAAAACAATGTCTCAAAATGTTCTTTCCACCTGGCAGCCACCATTGTTTTATCTGTCAGCAAATTCCCCTCAAGGTCATTGCACATGGCGGGAGATGGCGCTGTTTTACTCCGCACACCATTGACAGTCGCGTAGAACCTTCGCATATCGTTCTGTTCCATACTTTCTTGCGCCTCAGCAATCACGCGTTTTTCGTATTGCCTTTTCTTTCTGCGGTGGGTTCGTTTCTCAGCTGCCCTTGCTACCTTGTACCGCTCTCTGTTCAGCCGGGTACCAGACACTAACATCCGGCTTCTGGCAACGTTCTTCTCATCCGTCAACCTCTGGCACTCCTCATCAAACCAGCCATTACGTGGTCGTCTTTGAGCTGTACCTATCACTTCTTGTGCTGTTGTGTTCACCGCTCCGTGGATTGTGTTCCACAGATTGTTGAGGTCCTCGTTCACGTTGATTTCGCTAATCCGCTCATTAAGCTTCTGGCGGTACTCTGCAGCAACACCTTCTACTGACAAGCGATGGATATTGAAACGCATTGATCTCCGGTTCGTTGAATTCGTAACGGTCGATAGACGCGCCCGAATTTTGCAGACAACAAGATAATGATCTGAGTCAATGTTAGGCCCCCTAAAAGTCCTTACATCAATGACATCTGAGAAGTGCCGACCATCCACCAACATGTGATCGATCTGGGTGCAAGTTTCGCCATTTGGGTGTCTCCAGGTGTGCTTTCGGATATTCTTGCGTGCAAAGTAGGTGCTACTGATGGCCATACCTCTAGCAGCGGCGAAGTTTATTAGTTTCAGGCCGTTATCATTGGTTACTGTATGTAGGCTCTCTGTACCAATGATTGGACGAAAGAAATCTTCCCTCCCGACCTGCGCATTTGCATCTCCGATTACAATCTTCACGTCGTCTTTTGGGCACTCATCATAAGTTTTATCGAGACTGACATAAAACGCGTCCTTCACGTCATCGGATTTATCGTTGGTTGGCGCATAGATGTTGATCAGGCTGTAGTTGAAGAATTTGCCCCGAATCCTTAATACACAGATGCGGTCGCTTACCGGTCTCCACCGCATAACACGCTTCATCTGCTTCCCGATCACTATGAACCCTACTCCATGTTCTGCCCTATCGCCACCGCTGTGATAGATATGATACTTGAAGGAAGTGTTGGCGATGGGATCCACCGCCCGGAATTCACGTTCTCCGGATCTAGGCCACCGTACTTCCTGAATAGCAGCTACGCTCACATTCACTTTTTGCAGTTCACGAGCCAAAAGGCCCGCTCGTCCAGGTTCATTTAAGGTTCTGACATTCCAAGTACCGAGTTTCCATTCATTGTCCTTATTTCGTTGCCGGGTCGGTTGCCGAAAATTCCGTTCGTTGTTTTCTCCTTCTTCGTTTTTCTGAGTAATGTTGGGGGTTTCAGTATGCTACCTTACCGGGGTCGCGATACCTACATCATGTTGGTGGGGCTGCCACCTTAGGTGTAGCTGACGTGATACAGCATTTCTTATTCAGCCGCTCGCTCCGAGACAGACGCTGTTTGAGCCGCACCTCCATGGTGAACAGACGCTCGAGGGTCGCACCTCCTCACTTTGCTATCACCACGATCCGGATCCATGTTTTTATCGTGGTGACATTGCCCAGGCTACGCTACCAGCATCTTTTGCTGGCGGTCTTTGTCATCGGCTGACCCGTGGAAGCGTGAGGTAGGAACTTGTGAGGACCAGAGCTGTTGGGACAACACTCCTTCCAGTTTGTCGACTCACCATTTGTAGCAGTTGTAGCAGTTACCCCTATGGTTATTAAAGTGATGCAAAATTTGAAATTTTCGCTCCACAATACTTAAACGATTCCAAATCGGATCCTGACTAACCTCTCAAAATTTGAACCCATTTGGTGAGAAACTGAGATGGCATAAACCATTTGAAGTTTGTATGGGAATTACTATGGTAAAACCAAGATTTTTGTTCATGTCTATCTAATAATTCACCATATCGGTCTGCTTTAAAAGCTTTCAACTTTACTTGTAGGAAACTACAGCTACAACTTTGCTGAAGACCACTTTTTGATTAAATGCAAGGATAGAAAGTTATTAATGGTTCAATGCACTGATGTCTTATGATCATGCTCAATCAACTGCTCAGCAGGCAACATTGGTGTTTCTGGGGCGTTGAATAGGACACAAAAATTATGGCTACTATGTCACACTGCAAAATACAGTGTTGCCTACAGAGCAGCTGCTTGATCATGTCATAAGTTTACCAATCTCTTAAATAATTAATAACTTTTTCCTGTCTCGTTTTACATAGAAACGATCTTCAGCAATGTTGTAGCTGAGAAAAATTTCTATAAGAATGGCTATCGAACTGTTTTGCAGCTCAATATGGAAAAAGACTAGAAGGCAATGAACAAAAAGTTGAGATTTCCCATAGTAATTTACATGTAAACTTCAAATGGTTTGTGCGAAGTCTGTTTCTAACCAAATGAGTTGTATCTTTTGGAGGCTAATCACGACCCGATTTGAAACCATTTAAGCACTGTGGAGCGAAAAAGTGAAGCCAAAAACGAACGGCTCAACATCAACAACTATGTTTGAAGTATTTTATAAAGAACTTCAAACTTCAAAGTATTGAAGGACTTTGCTAAAGATATCATTCCTGTATATCTACATAGAAAGCTGCTTTTTAGTAGGACAAGCTTTTTTAACTTTCAGATTACGGGGGAATAAGAACATGTGATTTGTAACAGATTTTATACCACAACTCATTTTCATCAAAAGCCCATTTAGAGTGATTATGCTTTTACAGACAATAACAATAGTTCATTGAACTCGGCCCTCGGCTTCTAAAAAAAAGTTTAGGACTACCTGCCGCTGACAAGGCTGAGTTCGTGAGTAGAAAAGCATGCGATATGCAAAAATTCCTGGAACCGAAAGGTGAAAGATGGAACAGAAGAACCAGACCCGTCTGTACGAAATCACTTCAATGCAAAGAGCATAGAAGAAAGCATTAATGAGGGCTATTCTGCGCCGCGAATGAGTTGAGGTGACTCGCTGTCACTAGTGAGATGAAAATAGTCTCAGCGAGTGAGGTGACTCTCCATTTGATTTGCACGGAGAGTCACCTCAGCGGGCGGGAAACGAAAGAGATGACAAATTGATGGATGTTCAGTACGTCGATTTGACAACACATCCCGCCTCTACACCTCACCCACTAGTAACAGCGAGTCACCTCACCTCACTCGCGGCGCAGAATAAGGGGGAATGCCCTGTCTGCTTACCTGCCGGCAACCTCCGTTACAATTCAGAGCAGAGTTTCAAAGAGCTTTCATCGTCGTTCACCTTTTTATTGCATGATGGGAACACGCGTTGCTTTTGGATTTATTTAAAGCCACCAATCGGAGGCATAGTTTTTAATTCGCTGTCAGTCAGAGGAACAAAAATTAAAGTCAAATCGTTTTATTTTTCTTACAATTTTGTAATACAATAATCATAATAAGTGTTTGTTGTTTGTATTTCTCACGCTCGCTGCATAACTCCAGATGTGTTTCGTTTCAGTATTTTCTGGGAAAATTGTAGGTAATTTGTATCGAGGGTTCAACTGATTTAGCAACTTAAGTGTTACCGGTGGATTTTCCTGCCAAAAATAGAGGAAAACTTTCCACTAGAAAATAGAAATACCTTATCCTAGTAAAATCTTACTTGATAATCTTACGTCTTAATTGAAGAAGTCATTCAATAAAAAAGATATATTCAAGAAATGTAGTTGGAACCAACCTCGTTCCTTTGTTTTTTTTTTTGTCGATTGATGCGGTTTGAATAAAGTGAAGTAGATAGATTGATCTCTTTTTTGAAGCAACAAAATGACAAGCCATGTACAAAAATCCAACTTACAATCCTAGTTTGATGGACTTTTGTAGTCCTTGTAAAAAAAGTACTAAAAAAACAATAAGTTACGCGAAAAAAAGGATGCAGATTTTCGTAGGTTTAGGTCTTTTCCTCCTTTTCCTTGTTGTAGCGTTCGAGCTCCTTCAGGAATTGGGCCTTCGGTTTCATCACGTTTGGTCGGTCGCCGCGGCAGTTGGGACAGAACCATTTGCCCTTCGGCTTGGACATGAGCGCCACGCAGCTAAAGTGGAACCACTCGATCGGGCACAGATCGTTATCACACAGGATCATCTCGCCGAATGAGATCTGGAAATTGAACAAAGCGTTAGAATGAACCATTCATTCTATGACGTAGGTATCGCAATTCAGCAAACTCACCTGATCACACAAGCAGTAGGTCGGCTCATCCGGATCGATGGTTTCCTCGGGTGGAGGTGTATCCTCTCGTGCTTCCCTCGCCTGTCCCCTTCCGGTCTTTCGCTTCTTTTTCTTTCCCGAACCAGCGTTGCCCTTCTTGCCTTGGCCACTGTTATTCGACTGCCCGGAATTATTCTTTCCTCCGGTTCCGCTACCACTGGCTCCGCTTCCCGAAGCTTGTGCACTACCGCTAGCCCCTCCCGCTTCTTGCTTGATATTGCTCGTATCAATTGGATCCACATCCATCGGTACTCCAGAGGTGGAATTCGGTGTACTTGAGCCATTCGCACTGCCACTATTCTGATCATTCCTAGTACGACGTGCCCTTTTGGATCCACGTTCACCGCCAGCTCCACTACCAGCACCGCCAACACCACCAACGCCACCACCTCCACCTCCACCTGCTCCTGCGCCTCCGCTAGCTCCGCCACCACCACCACCACCACCATTAGAATTACCAACGGAACCATTGCCATTTCCAGAATTATTACTGCCACTGTTGGAGGTGTAATTGCCTCCTGTCGCATTTGCTGTCGAACCATTTCCACCATTCGAACCAGAACCACTTGAATTCTGGCCATTCCCAGCAGCTGAAGAGTAAATCACTGGCGTCGTGTTGGCATTGTTTGGCGAACATGCAGAGCCAGGACTGTTGGAACGTATCTCCTTCTGCTGCCCTTCGGTTAACTTCTCCTCTCGATTGTAATCCAACCTAAACGAATGGAAACAAAGTCATTATTGCTATGAATTTAAAAATCAATAACATCCCTCATACCGCGAAAAGAAGTCGCTTCCCAAATTCTTGAAATCCTGATCCAGCTGACGCGTTTTGTGATCGATCAAATCCTGCAGCTGCTGGACAATCTGCAGCTTCTCATCGCCCAGTTCCTGGGCCGCAATTAACCCCTGCTGAATCCGTGCAATCGCCCGTTTGGTAGCATTGTTAACGGGTTCCGTCGCTGGCGTAGTCGAGGACGAATCACTTCCGCCACCGCCACTTCCACCGCTTCCCCCTGCACCACCATTCAACTGCCCCGCACCGTTGCTGCTGCTATTGCTCCACTGTTCGTAATATAAACTCACATCCCTCAGATGGTTCCGGTACAACACATCGATTTCCCTTATCCGCGACAGATGCCGTTGGACATCGTCCGGAAGGTTTTCAACCGAGTCCAAATAGTTTTCCACGTAGGTGGCCGAATAAGACGCTTCCCCTGCTACCTGGCTTATCATTGTCCAACCGGAGGCATTCGTTTCTAGCACTAAATCACAAAGCACTTGCCTCCCTAGCACACAACTTACGAACTCTGCCCTCAACTGCTTTCACTGACCGAAAAGCGCCCGAAAAACAACAAATTTTCACTTCAAACAAGCTGCCATCCCGCATAGATGCAGAAAATTTAATTTTTAAAATTTATTTTTCTTACGATTCTTTTTTCCTGCTATTTTCGCAGCGTTTCTTCTTTCTTCATTCGCGTTTTTTGCCTACTTCACAAACACTGATGCAAACGGGACTTGACAGCTGCTGTTTGGTGTTCAGCGGATTGATTTTCACCGGGGGGCGTCTAATTTTACACTGAAGTACTAGAGCGAGGCACGGTGGGAAAAAAGGGGAAAATTGGCGGCAACACATGAATAACGGCAAAGTCGAATAATATTAAAATTTATATAAGAATTATCCATATCCACCTTTTTACGCTAAGTAGTCTACTGTAAAAACTAAATCACCCTCAAATAGACCATCATCATCCAGCTAGGGACCGTGCCATAATTATGTAAGAAGTTTTTATTTTTATTTTTTCTATAAGTCCAATGAGAATAACTCAAAAAGTGACACAAGCTGCCTGAGGGCAATGTTTACTAATCATGAACACCAAATGCTCATTCATTATTCAGATTTTGTTCATGGATAAAATCGGAGTTAATGTTGAGTAACTCACGTTGCTCAACATCAAATACACATACACAGCAAAAAAAAATGTAATATCGATCAACGTAATTCAAGCTGATGTATGAAATAATGATGTAATAGCAAAACGCAGATACAATATTACATCAATGGATGTAATTTTGTTCGCAAAATCGATGTACATCGTACAATGTGATATTACACAACCGATGGATTGACCTGGTTGCAGCAGTTTCGATGTAATATTCAACAACTTTTTTTGCTGTGTATAGCAACCGATACTGTCATGCAAAGCAAATTTACATACTTCAACAACATTTTAAACGGTGTGCTTGCAATGCTTAACCGGAAATATATTTCGGCAATGGAAGGTCAGTTGCACCAACCGGTGAACACTCGTGTTTATTTCAGTTACCATGGAGACGTAATTTGTGATTAGCCCCGGTCCCTTTCAAATTGTATCATTATTTATGAACGGCCTTATATTTGAAATGACGTTTCACATTCATCTAGTGATGTCCGATTTTCATTCGAATAATCGTTTAATCGATTAACGAACCGAAAAGTAAACGATTTATAATCGGTTAGATCATGCCGATATAAGCATTAACATCTCCACAGGATCATCACCGATCGTTTCAAACATGTGTTGCACTCTCATTGGTGGAAAAATGGCAGCACAGCGAACAAAAAATAATCGATTAGTTGTTAATCGAGTAATTAAAAAATGGGACATCTCTGATTTTGGTGTGATTGTTTTGATAAAAATGAGCGCAAAATTTCATCTCTTCCGAGGGGGCAGCAAAACCACAAAATTACCTTGAATACGGGGGTATTCATTGGATGAAAGGGACCGTGAAAGAAGACACTAAAATAGAAAGTTTTTCTTCCGACAGTTTCATCTTAGTATTCACATAGAGGTTGGTATTCATCTTTGGTTGCACTTTCGTAATGTACGTGTACGAAAAGATCTAAAAGCTACCCCCTCAAAACCAATGGAAGGTTTTTATAGGGACCATACGTCAGTCCTATACCGATGACGTTTGAAAAAATTGAAAAAAATTAAAAGTGATGGCCTTTATAAAAATGGTATGGTTAATTTAATTAACGACGTATTCGGGGTATCATACTTACCTTACCAATCAGGCTAAGGCCTTGTTGTCCTCTGCTGTCCGAAGAAGTCGTCTCCACTCTACTCGATCCATGGCCACAGTTCGCCAGCCTCGTAGTCTGCGAAGGGTCCGCAGGTCACCTTCTACTTGGTCGATCCACCTTGCCCGCTGCGCGCCTCTTCTTCTTGTTCCTGTTGGGTCGCTTTCTAGAACCATTTTCACTGGGTCGTCGTGCGGCATTCTTACGACGTGCCCAGCCCACCGTAGTCGCCCAATTTTTGCAATGTGGACGATGGATGGTTCTCCCAGCAGCTGGTGCAATTCGTGGTTCATTCGCCTCCTCCACGTTCCGTCATCCATCTGCACTCCACCGTAGATGGTACGCAACACCTTCCGTTCGAAAACACCAAGGGCGCGTTGGTCCTCCACGAGCATAGTCCAGGTCTCGTGGCCGTAAAGGACCACCGGTCTAATCAGCGTCTTGTAGACAGTCAACTTCGTGCGGCGGCGAATTTTATTCGACCGGAGCGTCCTCCGGAGTCCAAAGTAGGCACGATTCCCTGCCATAATGCGTCTTTGGATTTCTCTGCTGGTATCATTTTCGGCGGTCACCAGTGAGCCCAAATACACGAACTCATCGACCACCTCGATTTCGTCACCGTCAATCTGAACTCGGGGTGGGAGGCTAACATTGTCTTCCCTAGAACCTCTTGCTTTCATATATTTTGTCTTTGATGCGTTGATGGCAAGTCCAATCCGTCTAGCTTCAGCCTTCAGTCTGATGTACGTTTCCGCCATCATCTCAAAGTTCCGTGCCATAATGTCAATGTCATCGGCGAAACCAAGGAGCTGGATGGACTTCCTGAATATCGTGCCACTCGTGTCTATCCCAGCTCTTCTGATCACACCTTCTAACGCGATGTTGAACAGCAGACACGAAAGTCCATCACCCTGCCGTAACCCCCTTCGAGATTCAAAGGGACTCGAGAGTGTCCCCGATACTCGAACAACGCACGTCACTCGATCCATCGTCGCCTTGACCAATCGCGTCAGTTTATCCGGAAATCCGTACTCGTGCATAATCTGCCATAGCTGATCTCGATCGATTGTGTCGTATGCGGATTTGAAATCGATGAACAAATGATGTGTGGGCACGTTGTATTCGCGGCATTTCTGCAGAACCTGCCGAATCGCGAAAATTTGGTCCGTGGTAGCGCGGGCACCCATGAATCCCGCCTGGTATTGCCCCACGAACTCTCTTGCATATGGTGACAGACGGCGGCATAGAATTTGGGAGAGTACCTTGTAGGCGGCGCTCAGCAGTGTGATCGCGCGGTAGTTGCAGCAATCCAACTTGTCGCCCTTTTTGTAGATTGGGCATACGACACCTTCCATCCACTCCTCCGGTAATATCTCCTCCTCCCAAATCTTGGCAATTACCCAGTGCAGCGCTCTAGCCAGTGCTTCACCACCGTATTTCAATAGCTCACTTGGTAGTTGATCTACACCAGTTGCTTTGTTGTTCTTCAGCCGACCGATCTCCTCCTCAACTTCTTGAAGATCAGGGGCCGGTAGCCTGTCGTCTTCTGCGCGTGCTCCAAGGTCTGTTGCCGTGCCACCTTCGTTTTCTGCTGCTTCACCGTTGAGGTGCTCGTCATAGTACTGCTTCCACCTCTCAATCACCTCACACTCGTTCGTGAGAAGGTTACCGTCCAAGTCCTTGCACATATCGGCTTGCGGCACGTAGCCTTTGCGCGAACTATTTAGCTTCTCGTAGAACTTCCGTGTGTCGTTTACGCGGTACAGATTTTCCATCGCCTCGCGATCTCGATCTTCCTGCTGACGCTTCTTCCTTCGGAAAACCGAGTTTTGTCTGTTCCGCGCTTGTCTGTATCGCTCCACATTCAATCTCGTGCGGTGTTGCAGCATTCTCGCCCGTGCTGCATTCTTCTCCTCTACTAACAGTTTGCATTCGCCGTCAAACCAGTCATTTCTTCGGTCCGGGATTGCAGTACCTAGTGCCGCTACAGCAGTACTACCTATGGCTGAACGGATGTCCCTCCAGCCATCTTCAAGAGAAGCTGCGCCAAGCTGCTCTTCCGTGGGTAGTGCAACTTCCAGCTGCTGCGCGTAGTCCTGGGCAACTCCGGTGTCCCGTAGTTGCTCAATGTTGGGTCGTGGCGTTCGACTTCGACGTGTGTTATGCACCGTCGAGAGTTTTGAGCGCATGCATACTGCAACTAGGTAGTGGTCCGAATCTATGTTCGCACTGCGGTACGTGCGGACGTTGATAATGTCGGAGAAGAATTTCCCGTCGATTAGAACGTGATCGATTTGGTTTTCTGTGTGTTGGTCAGGTGATCTCCAGGTGGCTTTGTGGATATCCTTGCGGGGGAAAAAGGTACTTCGAACTACCATACCCCGGGAGGCTGCAAAGTTCACGCATCGTTGGCCGTTGTCGTTCGATACGGCATGCAGGCTGTTTGGCCCGATTGCCGGTCTATACATTGCCTCCCGTCCTACCTGAGCGTTCATGTCGCCGATGACGATTTTGACGTCCCGTTGCGAACAGCCATCGTACACCTGCTCCAGCTGCGCATAGAACGCTTCTTTCTCGTCGTCGGGTCTCCCTTCGTGTGGGCAGTGCACGTTGATGATGCTGTAGTTGAAGAAACGGCCCTTAATCCTCAACTTGCACATCCTCGCGTTGATCGGCTGCCAACCAATCACGCGTTGGCGCATCTTACCCAGCACTACAAAGCCGGTTCCCAGCTCGTTGCTGGTGCCACAGCTCTGGTAGAAAGTAGCCGCTCGATGCCCGCTTTTCCATACCTTTTGTCCCGTCCAGCAAAGTTCCTGCAGTGCTACGACTTCGAAGTTGCGTGGTTGAAGTTCGTCATAGATTAACCTATCGCAACCCGGGAAGCCGAGCGATTTGCAGTTCCATGTTCCGAGTTTCCAATCGTAGTCCTTATTTCGTCGCGTAGGTCTGTGCCGATTGTTCCGATCCGTATTTCTTTCTTCGGTATTTGCAACTTTGTTTTTTTTCCAGGGCGGCTTGTTGGGCCTGCCCCAACCCCCTGTCTCGCCGGGGGACCATCGTGCACAGCTCTGTTTAGAGTCCCACGCTGGCACTAGGACGGTGATCAGCCGCTCCTAACATGGAGAACAGACGCCGTTTTGAGCCGCACCTCCATGGTGAGCAGACGCTCAGGTTTGGTGAAGCATTTCCTCTATCACCGTACTATGGTTACCGCGCCAGTGTTCGCGTCGCACCTCTTCACTTTGCTATTGCCGGACTGGCAACATTGCCCAGGCTACGCCAACCAGCTGTGTCCATGTTTCAGCTGGTAGTCTTTTGTTATCATATGACTCGAGGAGGCGTGAAGTAGGAACTTGTGAGGACCAGGGCTAGGTATTCCGCTCCTTCCAGGTTGTCAACTCACCATT